GTCGACCGCGCCACACAGCTTGGTAGATATATAGACATATATCAATGACAGTGAGAATTTATTAAAAATATGTTGACACTGTCTTTTGCTTTCTAGACTCTCATGTCTCAAATTTCTTTGATTCTTATTGCAGATTCTTTCCTCTGTCACAAACGTATATTGTACTTTTTTTGTCCCCTCAGCTTCTTACAAGGTGAATTGAAATGAGGTCAGATACTAATGTAATATCCAAGAAAAAGAAAATAAAGGGAAACGTAGCAAATTTCAGTTTCACCTGAAGTTGTTAACTTTACTCTGATTGAAATGTATTTTCATGTGCAACCTCTCTTTCTTCCTTGTCCCCAGTATGTAATAATTACAGGTCCTGTATTCTTTTTTTCCTAGGATGGATGGGTGTTCATTTATTACTATATATTCATTGTCTTGTTTTGTTTTTGTTTATTCAGTATATGGTCCCTCATTTACTCTTAATTTTCCATTGTTAGAGGAGAAAGAACTTTTTTTTTTTTTCCCACAAGTGTTGGTTTTGGCTGGGATAATGTTCTTCATAATAGCTGTCATGGAGCTCTGTTTTGGATTTGTGCTGGCAACAGTGTTGATAACACGCTGAGCAGTGCTTACACAGAGTGGAGGCTTTTTCTGCTCCTCACCTCACCCCACCAGCAAGGAGGCTGGGGGTGCACAAGAAGTTGGGAGGGGACACAGCTGGGACAGCTGACCCCAGCTGACCAAAGGGATATCCCATACCATATGGTGTCATGCTCAACATGTACAGCTGGGGAAGGAGAAGGAAGGGGGCTGTTGTTAAGAGTTATGGCGTTTGTTTTCCCAAGTAACCGTTAGGCATGATGGAGCCCTGCTTTCCTGAAGATGGCTGAACACCTGCCAGCCCATGGGAAGTGGTGAATGGATTCCTTGTTTTGCTTTGTTTGCATGCATGGCTTTTCTTTACCTATTAAACTGTCATTATCTCAATCCACGAGTTTTTTTCACTTTTACTCTTCAGTTCTCTCCCCATCCCACCAAGGGGAAGTGAGCAAGTGACTGTGTGGGCCCTAGTTGCCAGCTGGGTTTAAACCATGATACCAAGATATTTCTATATTGCTTGTTAGTAGGAAATGAAGATTTCACAAACATATATGTAATTGTAATATATATATGTGAATAAATATACAAATATATATGATTTCAATTTTTGAAGATAATAGCTTTCCCATTGTACATGTGGGTAAATGAGTTACAGACAGTGAATTTAAAAAGGAGAAGGACAGTCGATAATGGTTGTTTATTTTGATATACATCTGGTTTTGGTGTTTTGGGGTTTTTTTCAGTGTAAATTAATACTCTTGTGGATTTCTGTTACTTTCAATGCTAACTACAGATGCCCGACATCAATTTTTTTCTGGCACTGTTCAGAAAATAATGAACACCCAGCTAAAGAATCTCAACTCAGTCACATCTCAAAATACGCTTATTTTTTCCTCAGCTGGCTGTAAAGCTGTAAGAGACAGAATCTCATCTTAATGTGTTCAGTAGAGCCCTTTTAATCCTGCTTCTGTTGGAGACTGAGAATTGCACAGAGAACGTATTCTTTTATTCTGTGGTTAGGGTGGTATGCCCCAAAATAAAAGCAGTGAAATCTGTGTTTAAGGAAAAGATGGGCAGACTTTTAAATACAGGCTAAACAATGTCTTTTCCCCATCCTTATTTGTGGAACTGATTAAACAGCTTGGCTGATGTTTTCAAAGAATGTAGTATGAGGCAGAAACAGAAAAATTACAATTTCGTTTTGAAAAGTTACAATTTTTTAAAGGTGGAAGTATTTGGATGTAGGATCTTATAACAGCAGGCATCAAGCACCATGAATAACCCTCAGAACCAGCAGTCCTGGTGTATGATTTAAGGAGATCGGTGGTGTAAGTGCTGATGTCTTCTGGAAGTTTATCCCTCATTTTATGCACATGCGTTTAACAACAGAAACTGAAATAATTGAACTAATGATTACAGAGTTGAATGTTTTGTTTACACTTGTATATTATACACAGTGCACCTTTTAATATGACATTTTTAATGAGCGTTTTTTGGTTTTGCTTTTAGGAGCCACAAAAATTGTTCCTGTTGAGGCTGCTCCCCAAGAAAGTGAACCCACAACACCTGAGGCAGCAGTTCAAGACCCATCACAACGAAGAGGGTATCAAGAATATGCCATTCAGCAAACCCCATATGAACAGGCGATGAAATCAAGCAGGTAATTTTAAAGTACTTATATTTGTGTTCATGCAAAATACGAATGAAATGTTTCCATATGCATCTGAAGTATTTCATGAGCCATTTAAATAAAGCCACAGCTGACAATAACCTGTGCATAAGTTGTAGAATTTAAAAAGCCTGTGGAGAATAACATTTTAAAATAAATGAGGGTAAATATTTCTATCCATTAGGAGTAGCTAGAGAAATTTTGACATATTATGTTACCACGTTTCAATGTTGTAAATATAACTGGTTTGTTTTTTTTTTAGGTTGGGTCCCACTCAGCTGAAGATTTTTACATGTGAATACTGTAACAAGGTGTTCAAATTTAAACACTCCCTCCAAGCACATTTGAGGATTCACACCAATGAAAAGCCTTACAAGTGTTCACACTGCAGTTACGCCAGTGCAATCAAAGCCAACCTGAACGTTCACATGCGGAAGCATACAGGGGAGAAGTTTAGCTGCGATTATTGTGCGTTCACTTGTCTCAGCAAAGGCCATCTCAAAGTCCATATTGAAAGAGTTCATAAGAAAATTAAGCAGCATTGTCGCTTCTGCAAAAAGAAGTACTCCGATGTTAAAAATTTGATCAAGCATATCAAGGAAACACATGACCTTCAAGATAAAAAGGTGAAGGATGTTTTCGATGAGCTTCGCTTGATGACACGGGAGGGCAAAAGACAACTCCTTTACGACTGTCATATTTGTGAACGCAAATTCAAAAATGAACTTGATCGAGACCGTCACATGCTTGTTCACGGTGATGAAAGACCCTTTGCTTGTGAGCTCTGTGGTCATGGAGCCACTAAATACCAAGCCCTTGAGCTTCATGTTCGAAAGCACCCATTTGTGTATGTGTGTTCTGTGTGCCTGAAGAAATTTGTCAGTTCTGTAAGACTCCGCGCTCACATCAAAGATGTGCACGCAGATATGCAGGAGAATTCTGTTTTTAACAGTTCTATCAATCAGAGTTTCTGCCTTCTTGAGCCCGGAGGTGATATCCAGCCAGAAGCCCTTGGTGAACAGCTAGCACGGTGTGCAGATGAATTGACTGTCATGAGTACTGATGCTATTAACACAGCACAACCATCTGCTTCTGACAGTGAATCAACAGCTGCAGATGTAAACCATAATGGTCAACATAATGGCGTCTTAAAAATCGATACGATCCCTTCCTTAGAATTTGAAAATCCTCTGGTGGAGAATGTAACAGAGGCTCTGTGTGAGACCACAGACTTAGCAGTCCCAAACATTGAATCCTGTGTCGCATCAGATTGCTTTCTGCAGAAAAATGGTACTTCTGGACCAGATGAGTTAAAACTTTCTCCTGCAAATGAAGAGGAAGTTAATCACTGCAGTTCTGTAAGCGAGCAGGGTGAAGAAATTCAGCTTTTGCTGTCTGAAGACAAAAGTTTAAATCCGAGTCAGAACAACGCAATGACTGAGAACCTTTCAGTCTCTGAAGAGACAAATCAATCTGCTCCTTCTAGTGAATCAGAAACAAGCAATCTGCCAATTCTTTTCTTTGCCAGCACCTGAAGCTAATGCAGCCGTCGGCCCGCAGGGAGCCCCTTCTAATACATCCGACAGTGGGAGTGGAGCTGTGGCCTTTATGCAGATCTTGGATAGCTTGCAGAAGAGACAAATGAACACAGAGTTGTGTGAGAGGATAAGGAAGGTTTATGGAGACTTAGAATGTGAATATTGTGGTAAGGAGTGTTGTTTGGTGGTTTTAAATGTTATGTAGTGGGCCATCTTTTTCCTTCTCCTCTGGTTTACAGTGTTTGATATATTTGTGTAGCCTTATAGCAGTGTTAATTTAGTAGCTCAGTATGGATTCTGAGGTCCAGTGAGATTTACTTTTTGCTATATAAATAGTGTGAAGTTACTCAAACCTCACCAAAAAAACACTAGGGGAATATAGTAAAGCAGTGCTTTGCTGGGCTCAGTTTTCTGTTGATGTGGAGTTTAGATAGATTATTTTTATCCACCTGCCTCTTCCCACCTCATAACTTCCATTGTGGCCAATCACTGCAGTTTTAGGCATGTGATGTGCATTAGTCGGTCTAGGCATTAATGCTTAAGCTTCTGTGGTGGGTAGACCCTGGCTGGAGGCCAGGTGCCCAGCAAACTCACTCTATCGCCCCCCTCCTCAGCTGGGCAGGGGAGAGGAAATACGATGAAAGGCTCGTGGGTTGACATAAGGACAGGGAGAGGTCATTCAGCAACTACCATCATGGGGAAAACAGACTCAACTTGGAGAAGACATCAATTTAATTTATCACCAATGAAATCAAATTAAGAAGAGAACTAAAATCAAATCTTAAAACATCTACCCCCATCCCTCCCTTCTTCCTGGGCTCAAATTCACTCTCGATTTTCTCTGCCTCCTCCCCACGAGTGGCGCAGGGGACAGGTAAGGGGGATTATGGTCAGTTCAACACACATTGTCTCTGCTGCTCAGGGGGAGGACTCCTCACACTCTTCCCCTGCTCCAGTGTGGGGTCCTCCCCATGCTGCAGGGGGGTCTCTGCTCCCCCGTGACCCTCCATGGCTGCAGGGCACAGCCTGCCCTCTCACCACGGGCTGCAGGGGAACCTCTGCTCCGGGCACCTCCTCCTGCCTTTCTGCACTGACCTGCGTGTCTGCAGAGTTGTTCCTCTTACCTCTCTCTCTCCCAACTGCAAAATTGTCTGCTTCCATTTTCTTTTTTTTTCACCCTTTTTAAACATGTTGTGCCAGAGGCCTTATGACTGCGATTGTCTTGGCCTTGGCCAGCAGCGGGTCCATCTTGGAGCCAGATGCATTGACTCTGTCAGGCACAAGGGAGGCTTCTGGCAGCTTCTCACAGAAACTGCCGCTGTAGCCCCCCCCGCTACCAAACCTTGACACAAACCCAATACAGCTTCTTTATCAGCTTAGTATAAAATTCAGAGCCTTTTTCATACACTGTGAGAGGGTGTATGATAATATAAATTCTGTGCAATAGATACATATATACGGGCCTATTTCTGTGACTTGTTTTGAAACTATTTTTGAAAGGAAAATTTTCATTACATAGTATCAGGTCAAGGCTGTTCTGATTGTAATTGTTTTTTTAAATTTATGAAAATGGGAATAATGCACCATTCCCATTGTTCTAATTAAAAAGTTGTGTTTGCATAACTGGAAAGGAAACAAATTGGGATTTATCTTGTAGTCTGATTCCTTTCCCTTCTGAAGAATGAGAAGTTTGGAAAAAAATTGTTTCTGAAACATGGTAACATTGTACATCAGATGAATTGCTATGCACTTTTTGGTGCAATTACGTCAGAAAGGCTTTTAGGAAGGAGTAGCATGAAAGGAAATAACAAAAAAAATTTTGAGAATCTCTTTTATACAGTTGTGTTTGGATTATTTGTAAAGGAGAACAGATTTAGAGGATTTTCTCACTAGGAAAAAAATCACTGATAACGAAGTTATACTTGTTATGCTGTGTCAGGACATATGGCACATGACACAATCCTTTTAGTCGAAAGTGTTTTTTGTAAACATATTTTCAGTAGTGGAGGGTCTTTATGACAAGTTCTTATTAAAGACAAAAGGGACAGGATTCAAACAGTGTGTTTTGCCCTGGAAGAAAATTGGGTTTTGGAATTGGCTGTATTAGAATTTTCAATAACAGCAGTTTAGAAATTACTTTTTTCATGTCTAATTTTATTTTCAGGCAAATTGTTTTGGTACCAAGTGCATTATGACATGCATGTTCGGACGCATACTCGAGAACATTTATATTACTGCTCCCAGTGCAATTATTCTTCTATCACCAAAAACTGCCTTAAGCGTCACGTCATTCAGAAACACAGTAATATTTTGCTGAAATGTCCCACAGAACATTGTGACTACTCTACTCCAGATAAATACAAGCTCCAGGCACATCTTAAAGTTCACACGGACCTGGTAAGTACAAACAAAATGATGTGTTTGCCTACATTCAGTGTCATCATCATAGTATTTGGCATCATGTGGCCATAAAATGTATTAGGAGACATAGGTAAGAGTTCGTACTTGAATGCTCTCTGCATAATTCTGTGTAGGGAGTACATGAGTTAAAGCAAGTAGATATTCGGTCCTTCTTGTAGCAGTTTTCAGTAGAGTATGTCTGTGTCCATTGTTTCCCTTTCGTTTTCCCAGTATTCTTAGATTCTTTGTGTTTTGAGAGTAAAATGAAGCTGGTACTGTTGTTACTTTACTTTGTTCTATGGACCTGAATTCCCCTCCTACATAAATAGTTGAGTATAGTAAAATGAAAATATGTTCCTCTCTTAATTACTATAAACAGAAGAAGTTGTTGAAAAGAAATACTTCTTTTTCCTAATAGCTCCAACTAGTTGTAGCCAACCCTTTTGAACATCTATAATTTTCTATTGTGGTTACAAAGATGAAGAGATCACGTTTTAAAGGCTCCTATCTTATTCAGTAAACCTTTCAGCTCTGAATGCCACTGTGTTAAAGACAGGGCTGGTTTCCTTAAACAGGCCCTGTTATGTGTTTTCACTGAGACGATGCAAGGGCCTGCATGCCTGACGGGAAGCCCTCTTTGTGCAAGACAGTGCTTTGTGACCTTGATCTGATCCAACATTATAACATGAATAATCTTTTGAGGAAAAATGTTTTCTGCATCAACCCTGCTTGCATTTGTTTCAAAAGTATGTTTTTAAAAATATATTACAGTATTCAGAATAAGAAGTATTTTAAAAACAAGGAATGAGATTTTTATTTTTCATTGTTGACTAAGTTTCTTTCTTAGAAGCAAAATTATTTACGTGCTTTTTTTTAAGTAAAAACAATTTTAAGATTAAGAAAAAACAATTACCTTCTTTATATTAGTTTTTTTCTCAGTTTTTCTTGTTGCTGTCTTACTATTTTGCATGAGTGGCCCAAATAGGTTAAGCTATTGTCAGAAAAAGTCTGCACACCATGGACTTCTTTTCCTACCACGTGGCAGGATCTTCCTGCTTGAAAGGTATAATTGATCTGGGACATTCTAGACTTGTGTGTACCTAAAGAGTTTACAATGTGCATACAGTAACAAAGTATGTGAATAAAGGTAAGTTCATCCTCATTCCAAATTGACTTCTGTGTTTGGCAAGAGCCAGCTGTCCAGGAATAATGTTTTTATTCGACTTTTAACTGTAGTCTTTCCTGAAGGTCATCAGGAGTGCTTAGCTGGAGCGTATTCATACAATTTTATGTGAAGATTCTGGTATTGGAGTAAAGTTTAGGATTCCATAAAATATCTGGCAAGCATGCTATTTGTAATTAAAAAGTCTTGATTGATATGCCAGAAAATTGTTATGAACTATGTCCTTGCAGTTTGGGTTTTTAATAATTTATGCAGTAAAATACTTCCAAAAGACAATTTTATCCTTCACCTGAATTTATTTTTATTCTTACTCCAGCAGAGGATAAAAGAATGCCAGTTCTGTAATAGCAACACTCAGTCTTCTGTCCTTTAAGAACAAGGAAATACTCACACAGATGGTCCTTTCTTCATTCTTTAAACGTTGTTGTTTCCACTATCATTGTCTTGTAAATAAGTCTTACAGACCCTTTATAAAATTCACCACATGTGACACATTTCTTCTGATCACATGAGAAAGCAACATCACCACTCAAGCTACTGTGATAAATTTGTTGTCATACTTCCTTTTGCTAGTGAAATCTGATGTTTCAATTAAGGATTCATGGTAATTTTTCCCCCAGATGTGCACAATTTCTGCATAGGTACTTTAAAAATCTTTTAATATATAGTGGTTTTAGGTCATCTTCTGCAGTCAGCAGGTGGGCTCTTGACCAGTATTTTCAGCAGCTGAAGTTACCTTAAAGGTGTTTGTAACAGAACAACGTTGCCTTCTACTCTTGTTAAGTACTAATCTTCTGTAGAATCATAAAATGCTTTGGGTTGGAAGGGACCTTAAAGATCACCTAGTTCCAACCCCCCTGCCATGGGCAGGGACACCTTCCACTAGACCAGGTTGTTCCAAGCCTCATCCAGCCTGGCCTTGAACACTTCCAGGGATGGGGCATCCACAGCTTCTCTGGGCAACCTCTTCCAGTGCCTCACCACCCTCTCTGTGAAGAACTTCTTCCTGATACCTAATCTAAACCTCCCCACTTTCAATTTAAACCCGTTACCCCTTGTTCTGTCACTACAGGCCCTTGTAAAAAGTCCCCCCCAGCTTCCTTGTAGCCCCTTCAGGTACTGGAAGGCTGCAATAAGGTCTCCCTGGAGCCTTCTCTTCTCCAGGCTGAACAAGCCCAACTCTCAAAGCCTTTCGTCATAGGAGAGGTGCTCCAGCCCTCTGAGCATCTTCGTGGCCTCCTCTGGACTCACTCCAACCAGTCAGTATCCTTCTGATGTTGAGGGCTCCATAGCTGGAGGCAGCACTCCAGGTGGGGTCTCAGCAGAGCAGAGTACAGGGGCAGAATCCCCTCTCTCGACCTGCTGGTCACGCTTCTCCTGATACAGCCCAGGATACGGTTGGCTTTCTGGGCTGCAGGACAGCCTAGAAAGCTCTGAAGCTGCAGGACACCTTTAAAAAGCTGAACAAAACAAGTGATATAAGAAGAAACTTTCTTCCCCACTTTGTCTGCCAATTCTGTAGTATTTTAAACAGAATCTGAATTTGTTATGGAAAAAATTTGTTATACAGAAAGCTCACATAATAGACACTCTTCTAGGCTGCTTTTGAATTTATTATATTTAAAATGTCCATCTTATGGCAAAAATCTGAGTAAATGATGTCTTAGACTACTTCAGAAAAACAAGCCTAAAATTAGATATCCTATATCCTTTTGTAAGTACCTGTTTTTCAAGTGTGATGAGTGTCCGACAGCTCCCACCAGGAGGATCAGTTTTATGATACTAAATAGAACTTAGAAAATGCATTTCATAATTAAAAACAGTGTGACAGCAAGGTCTTTCAGAATTATCCGTACTGATGCTTATTGTCAAATATATTTGAATATTTAAATGGATTGAAAAATTAATGTATTAGAATTTACTCAGTAACTAAACCTGGCACTTCTCATACTGGCCTTTGTGCCCACTGCTTGGTGTATTTACTTAATCCGTACCTCACTGAACAGGACTAAACTACTGTAACGAACTATGCACAGTTAAATGTGGAAATCTAGTTTAATGTTAATTTAAGTTTGAAAAATCAATACTTAATAATATGAAAAATTAAAGTTTCCTCCAAGGTAGTCGATATCAAAATCTCGGTTCAGTTTATGTGTGAATGCATGTCTTCATTACCCTTTTGCCGGCAGCTTTTCAACTGGATCCTTGTCTTATTTGGTGAACAGGATAAATGATGGTGATTAAAAAGGGCTGGAGAGGGCTGGAGCACCTCTCCTATGACGAAAGGCTGCGAGAACTGGGCTTGTTCAGCCTGGAGAAGAGGAGGCTCCGAGGAGACCTTATTGCAGTTTTCCAGTATCTGAAGGGGGCCTACAAGGGTACTGGGAGAGGGCTTTTTACAAGAGCCTGTAGTGATAGGACAAGGGGTAATGGGTATAAATTGAAATCAGGGAGGTTTAGATTAGATGTCAGGAAGAAATTCTTCACAGAGAGGGTGGTGAGGCACTGGAACAGGGTGCCCAGAGATGTTGTGGATGCCCCATCCCTAGATGTCTTCAAGGCCAGGCTGGATGTGGCTTTGAGCAACCGGGTCTAGTGGAAGGTGTCCCTGCCCATGGCAGGGGGGTTGGAACTAGATGATCTTTAAGGTCCCTTCCAACTCTAACCCTTCTATGATTCTATGAAAAAGCAGCTTACTGTTTATCTCTGTGACTCAGTCTATAGCTACCTATTTTATTCTCTATGCACCCTCCAAATCTTGTACTGAGTTTGGGATCATTTATTCCTGTGGGGATGATGATGGGGAATGTGTATGTGCTGCCTGTTGCCTCAGTATTGGCTACACGTTGTTACAGGGAAGTGTTTTACTTTTGAAGTCGTGGAATTGAAGCTCAGCTTGATTTAAAACCAAAATTTTGTATAACTTCTCTGATTTTCAGTACTTATCTTTTTTGTCTAAGGCTTGTGTAGGTTTTTTTGACAATTCTTGGCACTTATGGAGTAATTCAGAAGTTCAAACCATGATACACATGAATCACTTCAAGGTCATACTTCCTAGGGAAGGGGTGGGCAATTTAGAATGACTTTAGAATAACTTATAGTTATTAATGATGTAGTAGTAAAAATTAGAGACTGGTTGTGAAACTAAATAATGCTGATGTAGGTACCAGATTTTGTTTACAACCTCCAGTGAGTTCTACAATACCCGGTATGCTAGGCAGATATTGTGGTTTAATCCCAGCCAGTAACCAAATACCAAACAGCTGCTCGTTCACCTTTCCCCTCCCACAGTGGGATGAGGAGGAGAATCAGAGGAAAAGAGAAGGAAATTCTTGGGTTGAGATAAGAACAACTTAATAATTGGAAATAAATGAAATAAAATAATTCTATCAATAATTCTAATAATAGCAATAATACTAACAGTACCAACAACAGTAATGCTAATATTACTACTAATAATGTGTAATGAAAATAATATTACCACTACGACCACTAATATATAATGGAAATAATGGAAAAGAAAACAAATGATACAACTGCTCACCACTCGCTGACTGATGCCCAGCCACTCCGCAAGAAGCCAGAGCCAGAGGGCCGGAGCTGAAGAGAGCGCGAGAGCCAGAGCCCAAGAGCCACGCCCAGAGCGAGAGAGAGAGTGATTGAGGTCCCCAGCTTATAACTGAGCATGACATCTTATGGAATGGAATACCCCTTTTGTCAGTCTGGGTCAGCAGTCCTGGCTGTGTCCCCCTCCCAGCTTGTAGAGAAGAAGCAGGCAACACCGGTGCAGTATCAGAAACTGAAAAAGTCATGGACTTCATATAAACATTGCTCAGCAATAAATAAAAATGCTAGCATGTTATCAGTGTTCTTCTCAGTATAACCAAAACATAGCCTTATATTAGCTGCTGTAAAGAAAATTAACTCTTATCCCAACTAAAGCCAGCACAGCAGATAAACGTCACGGAAGAGATTTGTCTTCGAAATAATTTTAAATCTAGATACATAATCGATACTCCAAGATCAGTACTTCTCTGAAACTGGAGTTCAGACCCAGAACGACCACTTGCTCTTAGGTGCGTACATGTGCATCCACGTACATTTCTGGGTGTAAATGATTCTTGTCTCTGGAAGGGTGCTGGAAATGTCATTATGCTGCTGACCTTTTGTGTAATAGTGGAGTTAGAGCTTTCCATAGGGAGTGAGATACCTGAGCTCCGATTGCCTATTTCCCCTTCCTGGGGAGTGTTCATTTTCAGACCGTCACTGGTCTAGCTGTGGTACCTGTGCCTCTGGAGCAGTGCCACTGTGTGGTCAACAATGCAAGGTACTGGAGAGGGAAGGAATTGACCAAAAAATGTATGTTCCAGTGATTGGGCACTCAGTTAAAGAATGGCTTTTGTTCTTGGTCCCTGCTTCCATAATGGATATCAGCTAGTGGTTATTTCACAAAAAATACTTAAGCAGTACTATATGCAGGTATTTTGTGAGCTGTAATTTTTGCTGCTTGGCAGAGTTCATAAAAGGCTGCCTAACCATTTGCAGATTTTTCTGTAGCCTCCTTCACGCGTGTGCACGCCTGCCTCCTGGGTACATCGGATCCTTTTAGCCAGGTCACATTTTAGTAGGGCATCAGCTTAATTAGGGAATCTTTTAGGAAAATTTTGATTTGAACATTATGACAACTGTGGTGAAGATTTCTGAAAGTCTTTGCTCCTAGGATGTGTGACTCGGAGGCCTAATTCTGTTCCTTAGGCATGAGAATTACATTTCTCTTGAGCTGAGTCGATGGAGCAGGCTTTGGCTTTCTATTCCGCCATGAAATTTTACAGTCAAATGTTGTGTTAATTGAGTTGTGTGAACTTTTGCTGGAAATGCTCTCAGAGTACCAGTATTAAGGAAAGCTTTGTTTTATTTCCTGCTCGTAATATCATGCCCCTAGTACTAAAAGCAGGGGAATGGGTTGTTGATTTCTGTAACATATTTGTCTAATTTGGCCCCAAAGAGTTTTTATTATGGCCGTGGTCTTAATTTTACACTATTAATGAAGTTGATAACAAAGTCATCGGTTCACCCAGTCTCTTTTGAAATCAGTGGCAGAATTGCTGTATAGATCATGTAATACATGATCATATGTATTCTATGTGTGTTCTTAAGAGACCATGTTTGTGTCATCAGAATGTCTCTTTATGGATGAGTGCAATAGAATTCCTCCCAATGTTTCTGATGTTCTGCAGTGTAGGTCATATTTCGTCCTGTTTGATTCATTAAATAAACTTCGTAGTGCTCACTTCAAATGCTGCGTATACAAAGGCTTTTCATTTCTCTTTTCATGGCTGCATATTAGTACACCTACCCCTTGAATTGTCTTGAAATACACGCCTTAGAGAAACAAAATTCTCTTCAGGGAGCTGTAAATTGGTAATGCAATTTATATGCTTTCTTAGCACAATTTTAATTCATTTATAGTAGAGAAAGGCATTAGGATTCCTGTGTAAGTGGCCTTATTTTATAATGAAACATAGCACAAACAAGAAAATGCTATGATAGTATTAAACTAAGTTTTTCACTGGGTTTAAGAATATTTATGGACCTAATTCATTCCTGATTTGTGGAATGTAAACAGTGCTTTCACTTTGAGAGCTAACTTTTATCTTGGAATTATTTTAAGTTTCTTATATTTTCTCAAGTTGGCTAATAGGGGCATTAAGCCAATCTGAGGAAGTGTGGATGTGACGGAAATTTAAGTAGTTGTTTGGACTATGCAGCTGATCTGTAGCAAAGGTAGATCCAGCTCGCTTGATACTTTGCTTCTGTTTGTGTCCTTAAAAAAAACCCTCCAAGGCATTTAAAAGGCAGGCACACTGATAAGGCATAGGATAAATAACCTTTATCTTACCAGAACAAACTTGCATGCTAGGAATGAGCTGAAGGTATCACTGCAGCTTCAGTCCGAGTCCTTCCAAGCATCTCTTGTCGCCAGGGACAAGGGCTCTCTGAAGAGCTGCAGCTGTGATGGGGAGACCCTCTCTGGGGCTCTGGGTGCTGTGAAATACTTCCTTTGCAACAGAGGATTTCTTAAAGGCTGATTTTGAGAGGGATGGGGTTACACTGAAGGACTAGCACTGTCACAAGCTCTCAGGGCAGTGACAGAAGCACACTTAAACATTCAAACCTAATAATGTAAGCTCCAGGAGTCTGGGGCACTGACCTGGACAAACAACAGTGAAAGGTTTGGCTTCAGCTGGATGCTTTCTTTGGGAGACTGGAGCTTGACAGATACACTGGGAAGGGACAGAAGCGCAATCTGTTACACTGCAGAAATGTAGCCACTTTTGGAGATCATTTACTGCAGAACGTGTAATAGATATTTTTCTAACTGCTTGAAGAAAGCTGTTTGGATTATTTTGTTACTGGAAAAATTCTGTTCCCGTTGTCATGTGGAAAGGTACATTCTTGGTGCCCATACTTCCATGTTGCTCCATAGCTCTTGATGCTTTTATGCATTTACTGATGGTTTTGCTTTTTTCTCTCAGGCAGAGGCTTATATCCTTGCCTTCCTGAAGAATACTAGCAAGAATGGAAAGTTAACACAGTTACAGCATTTCACTTGAAGTAGTGTGTGTGGAGTGGAGTGGTTTGGGTTTTGGTTTTTTTTTTATTTAACGTTATGAAACAGCAAGGTGTATTTGTCCTAGTGTTCTAGGAAGAAATACAGGAAGAAATTGCATCAAAACTTTCCAGTTCAACTTGTTTGATGGTGTTAAATCTTTTATAACATCAGTGACACTGATAAAAGCCAGAGTAGTCTCAAAGTTTTTAAATCCAAATAATAGAATAATACGTTATTGATAATACATAAGATGCTGAATATTTATTAAATGGTTGGAAATGCAGACACTGAATAAGTAATGGCATCCGTCATTGTTAACTCTTCTGCTCGATTTCAGGCCATTAAGTAGTATTATAAATACACATACTGGTGGATGTCTTGAGAATAATGAGATCTGATCCTTAGGTTTCAGATGGGCAGACTTGTGAAAAAAATGGAAAAACCCTGAATATTACTGCTTGTATCAAATACGTTTTGTTCTGTGACTTGATCTTTCGACTTTTGATTCTTTAAAGTCAGTCAGAAGATAATGCTTACATTTATTGTGCATTTTCTCATGTGCTATAACTTGGAGCTCTTCATTCATGAGGATTAATGATGTGCTTAGAATGCGTTAATATTTCTCCTTCACTTATTTCACTATAAATATATTCATTTTTTCCTTAAAAACTGAACCTTCAATTATAACTTTGTTGAGAACCATGTATTTCTGAATAATGACTGTAGTGATTACACCAATGGACTGATAATACAATCTTCCTTTCTTTCTTTTTCACTTAAGGATAAAAAGAGTTATTCCTGTCCTGTGTGTGAGAAGTCATTTTCTGAAGATCGACTTATAAAATCTCACATCAAGACAAATCACCCTGGTAAGAAAAAAATCAAGGAAAATTTCTGTCTGTTGCAATAAATGAATAAAGGTTTAGAGTGAGCAGTGTAATGTGATTACATTCTAGAGAAAGAGAAGATTCTATGTCTAATTTAACTGGTTTAGAGTAAGAATTGTATTGGGTTTGCAGATGTTAGAATTTAGAGTGAAAAAAGCTATTGTTCCAGCTTCTGTGTTGTGGAGGTAATAGTGCTGAGAAATGAAGAACTCATTTCTGAAAGAGGACCTAGGTGAATTCAAATTAGGCACTGGGAAGTTTGGAATTAGACATATAGACATTCTCTAACAACCCATGAGACATGAAATTTCCATCGGCCATAGATAAACTGATGGAACTGCGTTTATTGCCCATTATTTTGACTGTAGGTAATTCACATGAATGCAGAGGTCCCTGAGCTGACTATGCCGGCTCAGTTAGTCAGTGGCTGGACTTCACCTCCAGGACCAGCCAAAGTCTGCAGCAGGGCTGTTACCCAAACCAGCTGGGATATAGTGTGACCAGGGTTAAGCTGGAGCTGACAAGCCTGGCTGGATCCAAGCTAACCACTGCAGTCCATTCAAACTCTGTTTATACCTTGCATTCTACTGCCCTAATTTATCACTGCAAGTGCAACATAAAACAAATGCAGAAAGTCCCTGGAATGCCCCATCCCTGGAAGTGTTCAAGGCCAGGCTGAATGAGGCTTTGAGCAACCTGGTCTAGTGGAAGGTGTCCCTGCTCATGGCAGGGGGGTTGGAACTGGATGATCTTTAATGTCCCTTCCAACCCAAACGATTCTATGATTCTGTGAAGTCAGTGTGCTGTGCCTGAGTACACGATCCTTCCTCAAATCCTGAGAACTCACTCCCAAAGTGCCCAAGTGACTGCTTCAAGGACTGATTTAAAACTGACTGATGTGAACTGAGTATGGAATCATTATCCATCGAGCGGTCCATCCGTCAAATCCATGTCTCCCCAGTTTAGAGACAAGGATATAGTGTGGGACAGTATTGAAGACTTTGTACTTCAATAGTAGAGCCAAGTTGTGCACTAGTGTGTCTGTGATTTCCTCCTATGTGTCTGTATTATGTTGGATAGAAAGGCCCAGGGCTGCTGTGGATGAAGGACAGTTAGTTGACTGCATTGGGCAATATTCTTTAATTAACTAATTTTCAGTGTTACTTATCACCTGACATAATTTGATATTAAGAAGGAAAAGACCAGCCATGCTCAAATTGAATTTGGGAAAGGAAAAATCCAATTGAAATGATGTAACTTCTCTTTGTCAGAAATACAGCATACTAGGTAAAGCAGTAGTTCCTTATCCTCCTGCTGCCACTAGATAGTGCTAGACCCGTGTTTTAAACAATTTCCTTCACTTCACTTTTGACTAACTCCCACTTCAGCTCTTTAGTTACCAAACCTTGTTATTTGCAGACCACTGTACAACAGTGTGGTTGGAGGGCTTGTTGTACATCAGAAGACAGGTCTGATGCAGCAAATTGAGATGAGGGAAGGCTTCTGTGCTGTTCTGTAGTCAGGAGGTATGTCACGCAGTAAGCACAGAAATTGAATCTTAAGAGCTGTGCCTATGAAGCCTGTGTTCTGTCTCAGCCAGGGAGTGTAGGAGACCTCCCTAAATAATGTGATCGGTGAACCAGCAGTACATTATTTACTGTGCCATTTACAGGTTGCCATTGGTCTGCACTGATCCATTGTCGGCTGAGTTATTCGTGCATACTGTGTCTAGGGTCCGGAAATACCAGTTAACTCTGGATCCCTAACATGCTAAACTCATGCATTTAAATACTTCTGAACAATTCGTTTGGTATCTGAATCCCTCTAGAAGTAGAGTGTATTTTTTTTGATCCAGGAAAGTGGGTTCTTTTAAAATCTGGGTTATAATAGAGATAAGGTTAAGAAAGAAAATCACATCCTATTATTTTGTCTCCTCATTTTTAATTCACATTTTGTAGGCGAATAGAACTTACAGGCAAAATACCAGATTTATTAGATATATCTCCATGGTACTAAAGAAATACTACATCTAAGATATGCCTTTGCAGTAGCTATGCAACAACAGTGTTTTAAGATAGGGAGAAGAATTAATGCACAAATCTTTTTCCTGTGCATGCTGTTCTTGTAATAAGGAGGAAATCCTTTATTCGTACAATGTACTTAATTACAAGCCGAATAAATGTGAGAGGTATGATGGTATAAACTATCAAGTACTGCAGTGGAACGAGTGCAGTTGTTTTTTAAAATGTAGCTGAAAAAGGATAAAGATGAAAGGAAAAATGGATACTATTAAAAGGAATTGAATTTTAAAACGACACATCAAAAATTAATTTAAACTGAAACCCTTTCATATTTATCATTAAAATTCTATTTCTGGAGCTCCCCTCTCCTTCTTTTCTTAATATCATTCAGCATGACCCCTCTTTTGTCTCTTCTATTTCATTAAGTAGAAAGTATGAAATAAAACTTCTTCCCCTTCCAGGTGTGCAGAGAATAGGAGTTGAATTCTGGTCCCATGAATGCAGTGGGACAAAAATCTCTGTAGGCTTGGGTAGAGCAGTATTTCAGACCAAAGGGGTAGGAGAGCTTGGCTTTATTGCCAAATGATGTGGGTACTTGGCAGTGAAGGAATTGTCTTGGATTCTGGTCCCAGCTCTCAGAATTAGCTACCTTTTTGTCCACTGTCTGTCTGATTTAATATGATATTTGTTAATAGTCCCGAGACATGAGAGGTGTCAGCTTTCACAGATCCTTACTGAGCAGACATACCAGCCTGCAGTCCTGAGTGAAGGATTTAAGACATAGAAGACAGATGAGGTCTCAGATTTCTGTCGGTATTTTTCTTTTTTGTGTACTTTAGAACATATCTCTGCTCAGTTCATGGGCTTTTATATTTCCCTTTTGAGGTTGTTTTCCTTGTGCATATGAGTTCAGGCAGATTTTTTGATTCTACTCTGGGACCAATCATGAGGGTACGAGGTATGACGGTTCATATTTGGTAAAAATATAAGTTTAGACTATAAGTTTCAAATTTTTAAGATTTTGTGTGTAATAAGTCATTAACTTTCATGTTAATGTTTAGAACATGTTTGGTCATGTGATATTCAGCATTTTATACATCTGAAATACATTGATTAATTTTTAAAAGCATTTGGCAATGTTTTAATTTTGTATTTTTGGGATATTTTAATTTAAACTTCATTATTTTGGGCATAATTTTTAAAACCAAACTGTTAGCTCCTATGAAGGAAAAACTTAGAGAGTTGAGTGTGTTTAGCTTGAATAAGCAGGGGCTAGGAGAGTGGTCTTAATTGCTGTCTTCAGCTATCTAATAGGAAATTAAAGAGAAGACAGAGACAGAATCATATTGGAATTGTACAGTGACAGGACATGAGTTGAAGCAGGGAGATTCTGATTAGATATTAGGAAAATTATTTTTACTGTAAAGGTGGTGAAACACTGGAATGGGCCAAGAGAGTTTGTGGAATCTCCACCCTTGGATATGTTCAGAACAGGACTGAATATGACCCTGAGCAACTTGATGTAACTTTGAAGTTGGAATTCCAAAGCTGGCCCCGTTTGGAGCAGGTGACCTTAGAGATACCTTCCAAATGCATTTATTCTGTGAGTCTGCTTTTTCCTTTAAGGTTTCTGATTATCAGGCATTCTGATCATTATAGTTGTGGTTGAAGTGTTCAGAACCTGAGCATCTGGAAATCTGGGGTGAAATCTTGAATGAAGTCTTTTGAAAATATTGAAGGAAGAAAGTGCCAAATTAGCTTATTGGGAAAGTTCATAGTTGGAAAATGATTTCTAAGCCAGTGGCACACCCAAGATTTTTTTTGTATATTTAAAATACTTTCTTTTAACCAGGCAGTGGAGTCATTGAGTACCCAGATCAGGAGGGAAAGGATGGAAATCCTGAAGGAAAAAAGGTCCTTATGCTATTTGCTCAGGTCTTATCTGAGTGGCAGTAGGGGAAGTAGAGCTTCTAAAAAGTTGGAGTGAATCAGTATCTAGCTCTTCAGTATTACTTATAGATCAAATTCCCTCATGTGCTTCTGTTTTTTTACTACCTTTTACTTTTCTTTCAGAGGTGTCAATGACTACTATTTCTGAGATTCTTGGCAGAAGAGTTCAGTTGAAAGGACTTATCGGCAAACGAGCTGTGAAATGTCCCTACTGTGATTTTTATTTTATGAAGAATGGATCAGACCTTCAACGTCATATTTGGGCTCATGAAGGTAGAACTCTGGTTTTAAGGTTTTGTGCATATAATCAGTCTTGTATTCTGCAGAAGCTTTGCTGACATAAAAAGGGATTCACATTTATTGCTATGCGTAAATCAAGAACTTAAGGTACAGTTAAGGTGTAGTTTGATGGATTCTGGATTGCATATGGAACTGCACACTCATGCACAGACAGCTTAAATGTTTTATAAAATGAGTTTCTCATTAATTTTTTTCCCAAAACTCATTCATAAATATCTATAAAGTGTCCTATAATAAGTGTGAGTAAGGAGGAGTGAATTAAATACATGCCCAGTATCTTAAAAGAAGTCATTTTCTTGACTTCTCATGAATAACTTCTGCTCCTTTCACATTTGTCCAAAAAATCTTGATCTGCAAATCTATTAGTAAAACAATTGAAATCCAGTTGCTTTGATGTATATGTATAAATTCTGTGTGTATTTTAATCAAATCATGCTGAGCGTGACAGCTAGCTGACACGGACAGAAACAGCGATGAAAATCACGTAAGATAATGCTGATCATATCTATGACATTTTAGTTAGAAATTCCAGTAGTGTGGCAACACACAGGCTCAAAATCCCTTGAATTTAAAATGTATGGCCATTAAAATCTTGTTTCTGTGCAGCCTGTCTATTCATATAACAGATGGAAGACCACTGATATGCTATTTAGTCCATTAATAATCTATGGAATGGATTGTCTGTGGTCTTTGAGCATTATTTTGGATTCTTTAGCCATCCCTCTGCATAAAAGGGATGATAGGATTAGGTACTCCTGCTGATACTCTGGTTCCAAAATATTTGTGTCCATGCAGATAGTTCAGGCATTTGTACCATTACTGTATATTTGTTTGAATGCCTTAACCGTGAGCTTACCTGCCTGGGTGCTGTAGTAGTGGTCCTCTCCAGTAGCCTTCACTCCATTAAGGTAATGCAAAACTGTAGGCTTAGAGCAATTGCTTGTGTATTCCATAGGTAAGTTTGTTTTTGCTAGTGAGAAAGCTTGGAACCCATCTCATCTAACTAGTGGGAGAAAAAGGTGAATAGAAATTTATTCCAAAATCAAAGTGAGCAATCAAGTCTTCTTAAAGTAGGCTATAATTCCTCATGCTTGTAAATCTAGTTTTAAGGTCATGAATATCAATCTAAAACTGCCAGAGCATCATGAAACTGTTGAACTACTCTGCCAGTTCAGATTTATTCAATTTTACTTTGAAGGATTTACTTTGTTCCTCTAGACCTTCTGCTAGATGACATACTGTGAGTCTTTATTGCATGCTTTCGACTGATTGAAAGAAGTGAAATTGTAAGTGCTTGCATCTTGCTGAGGGGAAAAAAAACGTACCACTGTGTGAGTTGTTAGCAAATCTGATGCTAATTAACAATAAAACATAGCTTTGCACATTTAACTTATTAAGTACCTAATGAACCAGTCCTAAGTTAGGTTTTTTCATTATTGTAGTAAAGAGAGAATGATAGTTAACAGAAGAGTTTCAGAGGGAGATTCCATTTTTATACCAGCTTAGGCAGTCTGGATTCTACATTTAAATGAAAGATGGACATACCAAGACCAAAATATTGATATGTGCTTGGTTACTCAGTATGTGGGTTCAATAGGGTAGTATTTCATTCTGAAAGAATCCCTCTATTCTCTTAGTAAGTTAAATGATGCTGTCAGGAGGTCGGTATCATTTACAGAGAAGCTACAGATGAAATTTCTGAAATGTAGATATTCAAAGTTTAAAATTTTGACCTTGTTGTCTGTGTTGCTCACACCATCTGAAACGTCTTTCAAACAAATGTCCACCCTCTCATCGAAAGGTACAGCTTGTTTGTTTCAGTGTGTGTATTTTTTTATTTTAGGTGTCAAACCCTTCAAATGTTCTCTCTGTGACTATGCCACTCGCAGCAAGAGTAACTTGAAAGCACACATGAATCGTCACAGCACTGAGAAAACACACCTTTGTGATATGTGTGGGAAAAAATTCAAATCAAAAGGCACTTTGAAGAGCCATAAACTCCTTCATACTGCTGATGGTAGGTGCATGCTTATTAAGTCCATGTTTATTTTAGGGTAATAAATGCTGTCTGTTCTATAGAACCTCATTAACAAGCATTTTTCAGTTGAACACTAAGTGCTGCTTGCAAATTTTGTTTATTCCCAGGAGACACTGTGAAATAATTCATCACTTTGCAAAATTAATTTCTGTGAAAGCAAGACAGCTGGCTCTGGAAAAATTTATAATTCTGAAATTTTGGGTTGGCCTTATATCCCACTTATGGAGAACTCAACAGAAATAGTTGACCTCAATAGAAATTTGAAAACACAGATAGTTCCATGGTGAAGTCTCTTACCACTTCTTTTTGTGAGAATATTGTTGGGAGTTGCCAAATCCAGTAGCCCAACAGAGGCAAAGCTGATGCATTTCTGTGTCGCCAGGTCTAGTCAGTGGAAAGACTGAGCACACATGCAGACCATGCATTTGCCTCATGATTTTAGTATTTCTGTGATTATATCAGGAGAAAGAGAGATGCAAATCAAGAAAAATACCATCTTCTATTTCAAGATTTGGGATGCAACAATACTTTATTCCTCTGTGATTATCAGTGAAGTAAATGATTTGGTAAGATAACTTGTACAGACTTTATGACTTAGTAGCTTGATCTTTGTTACTCATGCAACCTTGTGAAAACTCATTCCACTCTTTATTTACCGTATCCTGTAAATTCTTTGTTAAATATTTTTGCCTGTTTATTAGCATTGTCTTTCAATACAAAGCGCATATGCTCTGTTACTTCTTAAGAATGTATGTGAAGTTTTTGTGTCAAATATATGATTTATTTTTATGTGTGCTCATATCTGTACGTATAATACTAGTGAAAGGCATGATCCTTTTCACATTGATATGAAATCTCCTTCTATGCAAGGTGACCCACTTAGTGGACAAGGCAAAGGCTGTGGATGTTGTCTACTTAGACTTTAGTAAAGCCTTTGACACCATTTCCCACAGCATCCACCTGGAGAAACTGGCAGCTCATGGCTTGGACAGGCATACCATTTGCTGGGTAAAAAACTGGCTGGTTGGCTGGGCCCAGAGAGTTGTGGTGAATGGAGTTAAATCCAGTTGGCGGCCGGTCACATGTGTGTTCCCCAGGGCTCAGTACTGGGGACAGTTCTCTCTGATATCTTTACCAATTACATGGATGAGGGGATTGAGTGCACCCCCAGTCAATTTGCAGACGACACCAAATTGAACAGGAGTGTTGATCTGTCCGAGGGTAGGAAGGCTCTGCAGAGAGTTCTGGACAGGCTGGATCAATGGGCTGAGGCCAACTGTATGAGGTTCAACAAGGCTGGAGCACCTCTGCTATGGGGACAGGCTGAGAGAGTTGGGCTTGTTCAGCCTGGAGAAGAGAAGGCTCTGGGGAGACCTTATTGCAGCCTTCCAGTACCTGACGTTGCTGTAATGTTACTAAGGCTACTGTAGTATTACCTTGAGTCAGTAAATCACTCACTATTCAAAAAGTACCTTACAGTATTTTCAAATAACTTGGTCAGCAACAAGCAGGTGGTGCACATACCTCTAAACTTCATATGCAAGAATCAGTGATTCTACTTACGAAATGCAATCCTCAGTTGAATCTGGGCTGGGAGAAGGAGGTAGGTTGTATTTGAATTAAAAGGAAATTTGGAGCACATACAGCCTATAAAGAAAAAAAGGCCTCTCTTTAGTGCCATAAAAGAATTCCTGCACAGGGTTTATTTTCAAAACGTTTCTGTTTTGTTTTCACCATCTGGTATGTTTAAATACTGAAATTCAGCAATGGAAGTTGAATTTGGTTTTGCCTGTTAGTTCTGTTTCTTGAAGAACATATATATGTGTGTAAGTAATTATTGCAATTCAGCTGAGGCTGCTGTGAAATTTGGCAGAGTTAACAGTAGCACTACAGTTGTGCAGCAGCTAGCCTTGTCTGGATTTGGTTTAAAGGTGTGAAGTTAGTCCTAAACATTTAATTGCATGCAAGGAACTATATTCTCTTACCATTTACTGCTAGGTTGGGCTGAAACCTTGTCTCTAGAAGCAGTGTTATTTACAGGGGACTTTTTTAATCAGTTTTCAGACTGTTGTCACTTTCTGCAGTAACTGAGGTGACTGCGTTTGATGCATGTCCCTTTTTCACTGATCCAGATAAATCCAAGACTTGCTCTCTGTTGCCTTGCTTTTTGCACTTCCAGGAGTGTTCCAGCCTGTGGAAAATGTGTTTTGCCATTGGCTCCAGTGGGAACAGCATCTCACTCTCTGTGGAGTCTTAAGTAATTTTCCTCACTAAGTCCACCCCAATAACCTCTTCATGCATTTCACATACTTGTGAAAAGTAAGGTAACATTTGCCACTGGGAATGTAGTGTATGATGTGTCAAGGGGCTTTCAGCCTATTGAATGCTGACGGTTTCTCATCGCCCAGTGTCCCTTTCTATGCTGACAGCACTTGTGAAGTTCTTACTAGCACACATCTACTGTTCTTCAGTTACTTCACAGATAAATGAATTAATTTGTGAATCAATGCTTTGCTGTTTATGAGTCTGGTCTTCCTGACTTATGAATCCAGGTGATTTTTGTTAAAATATCAGCCCTGGAAGGTCAAGTGGAATATAAAGTAGTTTTCTGTCTGCTTTATTCTTCTCCAGAAGACAAGTTTTCTCAAGAGTGGCATGATAGAAAACAGTTCTGTAGTCCAGGTTTATTACTATTTGTGGTTAGAAATAAACCCGAAAACCTGGATTTCATTTTTTTAATTAGATACCAGAAATTGTCTTAAGGTTTCTCTTAGCTGTCTTTTATGGAAACTTCCACACTCTATAAAATGCTTGTAACTTTTTTGAGCAAGGTCCAGAATCTAAAGAAACCTGATCTCTTCAGGGTAATACAGAATATTCTGTATTGTACTTCTTCATCCTTCCTTTTGGTTCTTTTGCTTTTGGGATTTTTTTATCACATACTTATTCCATGTCAGTCAAATACAGTTTGCCAGCCATGGGCATTTAATACCGGAGTACAGTCTTTATGAATTTGGTACACCTTGCAATTTGGCTGGAGGTAGCAGGACTGTTAGACTTTTAAAGCTGAAATGTGGAGAAAGTGCATATGAAACCCAGAGAATAAAAAGAAGAAAAGTGTGTTATTTTAAATAATAAAGGGAAAAAAAATATATATATATATTTGGGAGAGAGAGTGCTTCGAAGGGAAAGTAAGCGAAGCCTACAGAATGGCAGTGTGGTTTGGAGTTTCACGCTTTGCAAAGACGTAAACAGCAACAGATGTTTCTCGAAAATGTCAAGAGAGAATTCATTCCTTTTAGAGCATCCTAAAAACGTATCAGGACAAAATCTGACCAACCTGCCTGAAGAAGGACCAGTGATTTCAGGGCCAAAAGCAGACTCTTCTGATCACGAGGTTGGATCTCTTGCAGAGTATGGGCCATACCTTAGTCTAATAATTGTGTATCACATTTCCACTGGATTGTAGTATATCTTTTTAGGAAGGGCTAAGCAGACTTGATTTAGGGGCTTCATGTGACAGGGCATCCATCTGATTTCTAAGTGAATTGTCATAGCCATTAATCATGCCCTCTGTTAAAAATATTGACTTTATTTCAGGCTGAATGTTCTGAGCATCAGCTTTCATTAGTTGAAATTCCAGTTCGTGTTCTTCAATTTTATTGTTGCTATTTCAGGTTGGAGGGTTAATACCTTCAATATTGATGCCTGCGAAAGCTCACAGGCATGTAAAGAAATATCAAGTATAATGTCACGTCTGTAGAACTTAAAGTAACACTCTTCTTTGGATGATACATTTGAACTGAAGCATTTTTTTTTTCCACAAAGCAATATATATAAATTGCATTAAGTCTGTTTAATTGCATTATGTTGATTAGAAGACCTGCTTTCAAAATGGACTTGAGTCTGCCAACTACTCAAGAGACAGTCTGTCTCAAATCTTCCAGTGACTTTTTAGGTGGAATCTGAAGGAGCAGTGTTTATGCAGATACGCACTCGTCTTTACTCCTCTTCGGATCCACTTTATGATTTTTGAAACTATGCAGAAGAGTCCAGCAGTTACTTTAACTCCAAATATTTGGAGAATATATGTGCCCAGTTACATACATATATGAATCATCACTCTCCACGAACAGGTCACAGAACCTACCCATTATCCCTAGTGTTTAGTAGCCACCAGCGTGTAAGTCACCACGTAAAGTGTGAACAACTCCCAGTACGTGCTTTCTCCTGCCTTGTGTGGCTGTATCTGGGACTTAGGGTTAGAAGAGGGATCCAGATGAGAAGAGATGACATGTCTTACAAAGAAGGCAAACTGGCATCATTCATTCTGATGTTGATGGAGCAACTTGTGCCCATTGTTTCAAAATTGTGAAAGCAGAAATGAAAGGTCAAAACACAAAACCTCTGTATTATTTGCTATTCTAATCTTATTTTCATCTATAGCATATTTTATTTCTCCCTGTATCCAGGATTAAACCAGTTATGACATTTTGAATCATTATTGGAAGAGTAGTTAGCTAAACACCTAACCAAATCTTCTGGTAAAAATAATGGGTCATGACATGCCCTACCAGAAATACATCATGAAAACTTACAGTCGAAAACCCAAGAAAACGTAAGTGTATTTGAATCATAACAATTCAGTGCTTGGGACAGAAGTAGGTAAGAACATACGGGAACATGACCAAACAACTGTTTTAAGGATTTCCAAATCTGCTTTACAGATACCAAAATAACTGTTCCTGCATTTGTAAATAATTTATTTCCTTTTTCCATTTGGGCTACACTACAGTTATTCTTTTTCTTCTTTCCCACGTGACTATCTCAGGAGCATCTAAACCATTTAACACATAATTTAAAGGTGACACTGGAACCCTTTTTTCCTCCACTGCTCTTAGCGATATTTAACCAAAATTTTGCAGAGCTGATGCCAGACGCTGGGTATTGTTCATTCCTAGCATTTGAGGAACCATCTTTTTGAGGAAAACTAATCAATAATTTTCTGAACCTAAATAGAAAAAAGTGATTCCTTTTTTTATTCCTGTTTCAGGAAAGCAGTTTAAATGTACAGTGTGTGAATATACAGCTGCCCAAAAACCACAGCTCCTACGTCATATGGAACAACATGTCTCTTTCAAGGTAAGAAAACATATATCATGCTTATCAATAAGTCATTTAGAAATACGTTGAACTTCACACAACTGCTTAAAATCAGCACATTTTCCTGTTTGGTGACAATTATAGCATTCTAACATTTTAATATTTTGGGAGTTTTGACTTTAAATTCAGACTTTTGAGATAGGGTTGCTATGTTCATGGATGGTTTGGAATTAATATCTTTACTTGCCCAAAATATATGTATATTGCAATATAAACCAAACATCATTGTTGTTTCTGACTGTCAATCCTTGAGAGAGGTAGGTACCTTAAAATAGGTACCTTAAAATATCATAGGTACCTTAAAATAGGTAAAATCTCATAGGTACCTTAAAATATCGTAGGGAAGTAGGAAAGCAAATCCCATACATCACTGTTCATTGCCCACCTTAATTTCTCTGAGTGTTTGACAGTCTAATGTACTATAGATGAGTTCATATACTTGAAGAAAATCGAAGAGAATTAATTTTAAAACACCCCATTTACCTGAAACATGTCTTGGAAGGTTTTAAAGATTGTTATGTTTTTATGAACTGTTTACATTAGAGATACAGTTTATTGTAATAAACTGTAGTATGGTTTTATTCTTAAATTTCACATTGCTTCTCGGCATGATAAGTCTGCTTGTAATGAATTGTGAAATGTTATGTTCAGGAAATAGAAATGAAACTAGTTTCTTTTTGCAGAAAAATCCAGTATGAAAATGTTCGTTTTGAACTAACATTTGATCTTGGCAATGAGCGTATTTCTTACTAAAAGCATCATACTTTTTCATATGCAACATCTTTCATTTAGCTAACAAATCATTATGCTTCTATAAAGTGTACACATCAGCCATTCTTAATAAGTACCAGTGCTACGTACCTCTTTAAAGCAGAAAGGAAGACAATCTTTTGATTCATGATTATAATTTTGGAAGACAAGATATAAGAAAGTAAAGCAGCTCATCTAGAGAGATGATATATTATGAACAAATAATTTGTCTTTCTTAAATACTGGGTTTTGCTATGGAATTACCTTTTTTAAAAGATTTTTTTCTAAATGGAAATACACTATTTTCCATTTTTAATGGCTAATGCACTCATAATGCAGTTCATAGAATCATAGAATGGTTTGGGTAGGAAGAGACCTTAAAGATCATCTAGTTCCAACCCCCTTGCCATGGGCAGGGACCCCTTCCACTAGTCCAGGTTGCTCAAAGCCTCATCCAGCCTGGCCTTGAAGACATCCAGGGATGGGGCATCCACAGCTTCTCTGGGCAGCCTGTTCCAGTGCTTCACCACCCTCGCTGTGAAGAACTTCTTCCTGATATCAATCTAAACCTCCCCACTTTCAATTTAAACCCATTACCCCTTGTCCTGTCACTACAGCCCCTTGTAAAAAGTCCCCTCCCAGCTTCCTGGGAGGCTGGAAGGCTGCAATAAGGTCTCCCCAGAGCCTTCTCTTCTCCAGGCTGAACAAGCCCAACTCTCTCAGCCTTTCATCATAGCAGAGGTGCTCCAGCCCTCTGAGCATCTTCGTGGCCTCCTCTGGACTCGCTCCAACCGGTCAATATCCTTCTGATGTTGAGGGCCCCAGAGCTGGATGCAGCACTCCAGGTGGGGTCGTTCTGACCTCAGACTCAGCTTTAGAACTGCTGACTCAGCACCTCTTTTCAGTCAGCTCTGTCAGCCTGCTTATAAGTGTGGCTATTCAGTGCATTATCAGGAGAACTGCAAAGCACTGAAACAGGTCACTCAGGAGTACTTGTCCCCTTCTAAGGAATTTAGAACTCTAAAGGAGTTGTAAAACTGTCTGTTAGTAACGTGTTGCCTCCTCTGGGACAGTTGTTCGCAAGTGTATCAAACTCAGAGGAATGTCAGTGACCTAAAGTGACCTAATGATAATTTAATCCATCATATTTCCAAGCTCCATAAATTTGCAATCCTGCTATCTAATAGCAGATAGCATACAGGACATATATGGTAGAGAGTGCTGCCAGAACACGCAGTCTGTCTCCATTATTTTCTTGAAAAATAAAACAGTTTCATCAATATAAAAGGAGAGTAACCCTCTCAGAAAAATTGAGTAGCTGAATGTTACAGGACCCTCTGAATTGTAAGACTAAGGGAATCTTAACATCACTTTTCTTCCTTATTTTTGTTGAGTGAAACCTTTAGGCTTCTAAAATAAGGTCATGACCAACAAGCTTAGGGGAATGTTCTGGTCAGCTGCAGACATTTCCCTGCTTTAAATCCATCTTCTGAATCATCAGTTTTGTTCCAGCCATTTTCTGCTAACTAGCTTAGATGAGCCTGGTTGCTGTGTATGAAACATTTTGCATCCCATTCTGAGGTACTTGACTTTTCCCCAGGGACTTTGGTCAATGTCTGTATTCTTTTCCAGGACCCTAATGGTTGTCTCAAGCTTCCTATAATTGATGTATTTCAGTCAGAAGGTTAATCTCAAGGTTAATCTCAAGGCCCAAATGCTTCTTTTCCTAAACTTTTTTCTTTAGAAATGTCTCTTCCTGGTAGTTGAAGGGAGATGAAGATTAAATTAAAGATTAATTAATTTAGTTCTCAAAACTTAGCTCACCAAATGGTCAGATGAATGCAAGTGCCAGTGAAAGGGAAGCAGCTGGGAGCATGTTGGAGAGAGAAGGAAGGGAAAGGGATCAACCCTGTCAGGTATGGTTATGTGTTAAATTAGGTTGACTGTACAGTCCTATTGTACCATCAGTTATTTTAGCTCTCTTACTCCCCCTTTTCAGACCAAAGCTCACGGCAGCTGAGTCATTTCCTTGTAGTAGAAGGTCTCCATGTGGTCAGACGTGTGATCATCAATTATGAAAACACAGTTTACTGAATTACGAAAAGTAGGTAATAATTTCATAATGTTGAGAATACTTGGTGTCTTGCACATAATAGAAAGTACCAAATTTTAGGTAATGATTAGTTACAACTTCCATCTATATTGAATTTTGGAAGGTCTCCTTGGAAGATGCCTAAACCAGAAATTAACATGGTTTCTTGGGATCAAAACTTTGCAGCTTAGACCTGTATCCTGAAGAAGTCAGGAAATAAGTTCTAAAATTTTCCTTTTTGCTCCTAGCCTTTCCGTTGTGCACATTGCCACTATTCCTGCAACATATCTGGTTCCCTGAAAAGGCATTACAACAGAAAACATCCTAACGAAGAGTATGTAAATGTAGGTTCTGGGGAGCCTGCAGCAGAAGCCCTTATCCAGCAAGGTACATGTCCACTGTATAAGACTTGTTATTATTTTTGCTGAAGCAAAGTTGGTGTAAAGGTAAACTTTTGTGCGATAAAGGATTCTTCAGTTTATTGGATGTTATGTGATAAATCATTACTACTTTTTAATAATTTTGAAATGGCCACCTTTTACCCTTCATTCAGTGCCCTTTATTCTTGTTTTCTATGGTTGGATGAACCAAAAGTGTGATTTACCAATGTGCTAATCATTGCTGCATCCATGTATTGTTTTCACTTGTTCGTCTCCTTTTGTAAGTGAAGCATCGTATGTTTCTATCATTCTACTGATAAATTCCTATGGCCATTTTGCCAAGTTGAGCTGAAGGTAAGGTGGAGCAAATGCAAAGGAAGAGACTGAAGGGTAAATGGCAGAAAATTACTCCCCTGCTAGAAAAATGGGGGAGAAAAGACAGTCCAGGTAAAACCAGTTACGAAGTGTTAGGTTCAGAATCTTATAGATGGGCAAAGGAATGACACCTTATCTATGAAGCAAAGCTAAGAATTTGTTGTTACGACGATGGAAAACTTAACTCTAGTTTAAGAATCACCATTAGTCTAGATCTAATCATTATTTTTTAAAAATAATGAAATGTAGTTAGAGTGCACAGAGAGGAAGTCTCAATAGTGTTATTATTACAGTTTAAATGGTGTCACAGACACACTTCTTAGTTTCTACTCTTTTTCCTGGTTCCTCTGTTCTCTGAGTCCTAAATGAGTGGTTCTCCTCTGGTGTTGGCATTGACATGAGGGTTTCAGTAAGTTGGCAGTATCTCAGCATCACAGGGGTGTGATGTTCATCTTGATGTTCATATAAGAGCAACAGATCTGGGGAAGGCTCTGGAGCACAAGTCCTGTGAGGGGCGGCTGAGGGAGCTGGGGGTGTTCAGCCTGGAGAAGAGAAGGCTCAGGGGAGACCTTATTGCTCTCTACAACTATCTGAAAGGAGGTTGCAGAGAGGTGGGTGTTGGTCTCTTCTCCCAGGTGACAAGTGATAGGACAAGAGGAAATGGCCTCAAGCTGCACCAGGGGAGGTTTAGATTGGATATGAGGAAAAATTTCTTCTCTGAAAGTGTTGTCAAGCACTGGAACAGGCTGCCCAGGGATGTTAAATACTTTTTCTTGTTGTCCCTAAAGCTAGTTTTATCCAGCTGTGGATTTCCGTGTTTTTAACTGATCATTTTGGAGTTGTTTATAGCTGTGTGTTCTTCACTGCCAAGCTTGTGGCGCACTTCTTACCACCCCATGCCTGCCCTCGTCTGTGCTGCATCCTCTGTCTCTGCTTCTCAAGGCTGTCATAGCAGACCTGCATTTCTCTACAGTACATCTCTGTGTTAGGAGTCCTAATGTCATTATGCCTACAACAACTGCTTGTTACTGCTGTCTGTGTTAAACTGTAGTTGTATCCCACAAAGACAAAGACAAATAAAACTTAATAGTTGTGGATGCCCCATCCCTGGCCGTCTTCAAGGCCAGGCTGGATGAGGCTTTGAGCAACCTGGTCTAGTGGAAGGTGTCCCTGCCCATGGCAGGGGGGTTGGAACTAGATGGTCTTTAAGGTCCCTTCCAACCCAAACCATTCTATGATTGAGAGTGAAGTTGATAGATATAGACACCTGGTCAGAGAAATTGCTGTCACAGATAAACAAAGTATAGGGAACAAGGATTTTGGAAAATACTGAACATTCAAGATGAAATATAAGAGCTAATGGAATGGCAGAGGAAAGAGAGAATCAGATTTAGTAGTTTTTACATTTATATAGTAGAATAAACAATTATATTCCTAGCTGTCGTTGGTTTTATTTATAAATTTCGTCGCAGCTGCAGTCCTGTATCCTGAAAAGATGGTTGATGCCAATAGTTGCTTTATTTCTGCTTTTTCTGCTTGATACAGGTGTCATACATTGTACCTTGTTCCTGGCAGTGCCTGGGTGCTAGCAGAGGAGACATGGACAAGTAATTGGTTCCCATAATTAGCTTTGCTAATTGCTTCACTGGGCAGGTGAACCAAAGCAGACAATTGACTGTGCAGTCAGGTACCTTTTTTGGGTGTAAAATGTACTTAGACATTCAGGAAGCACATAGCTCCTTCAGTTCTAGCACCTAGCATGGGAAGTGAGAAAGAAGAGGAGAAAGCCAAATTAAATATTAAATTGTCTTGAAAATATTTTGATGCTTGGTAGAGTTTCTTATTTTGTTTTTGAAAATTTTAGAGAGTGTTTGCCTTTGTTTTTAGGTAGAAACTGCCAGCCTTTTTGTAATATCATTTGGGATCTTCCAAATTTCTGATTTTGTTGAAGCAGAATAGAGACAAAAATAATGCAGATGAATTAGATAATGAATTAAATATAATTCTCCTAAAATGACATTATTTCTGAATAGTTTGTCCAAATTGTTCATCTAGTGCAGATCATTTATCTACTGAAGGACATTAATCTGTGTTAAAATAATACTGAAATCACAACATGGAAAGACACTCAAAATTAAGTCTGAGACTCTCCCTTCAAACTTGCACTTTAATGGGGAAATCTGTAACCACATTAAAGAGTTTGGATCTGTGTTATTTGTATGTGACATTTCTTTGTTTCCTTTTTGTCAAAACCAACCAACCAACCAAACAAACTAGGTCTTTGTCTATAAATTCAGGGCAGGGATGTATAGTAGCATTTTACAGTTATTTTCACAGGCAGTGGAAGTTGTCAGGGAACCTGGAGTTTAAAGAGCGGATATTTACTTGATCAGTACGCAAAGGCTCTATTCTGTAGTCATGCTGGTGAAGGAAGAACTGTGGGTTACAGGGAACTTTGTTTAACTTTCCAAATATTTGCACACTGCAAAGAATTATTTTTCCATAGCCACTCTTAAGAATAGGTACCTGAGATTGAATTATTTTATATTAAATTAAGGATCACATTTACAGTGTTTTGAACAATTAAAATTAATTGTATACTAGTTAGGTTTTCCCTCCCCTTTGGGAGCCAGATAAATGCACTTCTGAAAATAATTCTTTTCCACTGGAAATCAAAACTGTAAAGTTGATGCTAATGCAGGAGTAGTCTTATAATGAAGACCTTACGGTGCGATGAGAGAGAACAGCCTTTTGTTTTGTCTGTGGTGGACATGCTTTGTGTGCCACATTGGAGCATTGGGCAGTGATTAATGGGGTAAAATTTAACAAGCCTGAGTGCTGGATTCTGTACCTGGGACGGAGTAACGCTGAGCACAAGTCCCGGCTGGGAGCGGAGTGGCTGGAGGGCAGCCCTGCAGAAGGCTCTGGGGGAGCTGGTTGACAGCAGGCTCCATAGGAGCCAGCAGTGCCCTGGCAGCCAGGAGAACAAACCCTGTCCTGGGTGCGTCACACACAGCATGACCAGTCGGTGAAAGAGGTGATCGTCCCGCTGTGTTCAGCGCTGGTGTGGCCTCACCTCAGGTGCTGTGTGCAGCTCTGGGCCCCAGCATTTAAGAATCACAGAATAATAATGGTTCATAGAATCATAAAATGGTTCAAAGAAGGGTGTTCAAAGTCTTTAAATGCATCCAGAGGAGGGCAAC